AGCCTGGCTTCCTAGCTTTGTCCCCTGCACTCTGGGAAACAGGAGTGTTCGCTTCCAGTGTGTCCGCTCGGGATGCTTTCTCTTTTTGGATTGTGTGGGCAGGTCTGGTTGGGCCAAAGTACAGTATGAATGTAAAGTTCCCCCCTAAAGAACTGGGTGTCCCTGAAGAACAAGTGAGGAGGAATGCTCTCTATAGATCCACTTGCCAAACTCTTGTCCAGTTACATCAAGATTAACTGGACAGACTGCAACACAGGCTCTGTGCTGCCCCATAGGTCAGTGACCCTGGGGGAGGAAAGAATGCCTGGGCTCACCCAGGCTGCCCACGTCTCCCAGCATTGGTGGATTTGGGTGCCCACAAACCCAGCAAGCTTCAAGAAGAACTACAAAGGGCCAGCCCGTCAGAGGGAAATTATGTGGGCACAATGGAGCGTCCGGGCTCAGCCCCCAGGCTTCATCAGCCTCAGAGGCGCCTGGGCCTCCTGTTGCTACACACCTCCAGGGCAGTAGCTTTTCCAGCCCTGCTAACAGGGTATGGTGCAGAGGGGCTACAGGTGTACCACACTCACATCTCACATTTGCTCACACGTGTTTGTGCTGGGGCACAGCCTGCTACTGTGTGCCACACATACATCCTCCTGCTCCCCCCCCCACCAGGCAGATGTGTGTCCCAGATGACAGGCCATGCTTACGTCTTCTACACAAGAGAGCGTGGGTGGGGATAGCCATCAAGTGGGGATGGTGGTTGGGGCAGCCCAGCACTGTTAAGTGGTTTGAGGTTGTGTGGGTTCTGTCCCCAAAGAGTCTCCAACCAGTGCCAAAGGCGGCAGTAGCTCTGACGGGCAGTGAGGAGCCCAAGGCACGGCTGGTGCCATTGAGGCACAGAAGAGCACAGGAGAGGCACAGGAGAGCACGTGAAGGTTTCTGCTGAGGAGTCTGGCGGGTCACCTGGGACTTTGATTTCCTTCAGAAACTGCGTCCAGGAGTCTCACCATGGTTATGAATGTCCCTGAACTCCCGGGGGCCTAGAGCCTCCTGCTTGCTGCAGGTGCGCACACACAAACACACATGCAGGAGAGCTCTTTCTGGAGCCCAGTGACTAACTCTGTCCCTCCTCTCTCAGCAGAGCTGTGAAGCTGGGGTGAGCTGCCTGCCATGTGGAGCTGTGGCCCACTCAACAGCACAGCGTGGGGTGAGGAGCCGCTGTGCCGGAACCTGCGCCTGGGGCTGTGGGTCCTCTCGCTGCTCTACCTGGGGGCAGGTGTCCCCGTGGGCTTGGGCTACAATGCCCTGCTGGTGCTGGCCAACCTGACCAGTAAGAACAGCATGACCATGCCAGACGTGTACTTCGTGAACATGGCTGTGGCGGGGCTGGTGCTCACGGCGCTGGCCCCTGCGTACCTGCTGGGCCCCGCCCACTCCAGGTGGGCCCTGTGGAGCCTCAGCAGTGAGGCCCACGTGACACTGCTCATCCTGTTCAACGTGGCTTCCCTGGTGACCATGTACTCTACAGCACTGCTGAGCCTTGACTACTACATCGAGCGTGCCCTGCCACGCACCTACATGGCCAGTGTGTACAACACCCGGCACGTGTGCGGCTTCGTCTGGGGAGGGGCGGTGCTCACCAGCTTCTCCTCCCTGCTCTTCTACATCTGCAGCCATGTGTCTTCTCGCATTGCTGAGTGTGCCCGGATGCAGAACACAGAGGCTGCTGACGCCATCCTGGTGCTCATCGGCTATGTGGTGCCAGGCCTGGCCGTGTTGTATGCGCTGGCGCTCATCTCAAGGATTGGGAAGGAAGACACGCCCCTGGACCAGGACACCAGCAGGCTGGACCCCTCAGTGCACAGGCTGCTGGTGGCCACCGTGTGCACACAGTTTGGGCTCTGGACACCTTACTACCTGAGCCTGGGGCACACAGTGTTGGCCTCACGGGGGAGGACCGTAGAGGGGCATTATCTGGGCATCCTGCAGGTTGCTAAGGACTTGGCCAAGTTCTTGGCCTTCTCGAGCAGCTCCGTGACGCCACTGCTCTACCGTTACATCAACAAAGCCTTCCCCAGCAAGCTCCGCCGGCTGGTGAAGAAGATGCACTGTGGGCACCGGCACTGCTCCCCTGACCCTGCGGGGATACAGCAGGTGATGGCGCAGGCGTAGTGACCCCTCCCTGGTCTGAAGTCCCAGGAGAGGACCTGACTGTGAGGAACACTAATCAACTGGATGCATAGCACTTTGTTCCCCTAGCACATGGCGCGTCCACCCCAGGAGACACGCTGAATCCGTAACACACGGGCGTTTCTCTTGACATTTTGTGTGTTTTCCCCTAAAAGGCCAATCTTGGTCTGAAGCCGCTCGGTGGAAAGCAATGTGCCTCGTGCGAACGGGCTGCTTCTAATTAACCTCCCCACCTTCCCCTCAAGGTGTGTGCCTTTCTCCCAGGGACATCTTCAAGGGCCATGTCCTCAGAAGCAGGCTGACCTTTGACCTCCCTGGTATTTGGGCTTTCTAAATGAAGTGATGAAATCTAAAGCCAGTATTTATACTTCGTATTGACACAATACTTGATTCTCTTCTCTCTTTTTTTTTTAAATAAAAAGAAGTGTTAGAAAAATACCTAGTATCGAGGTGAAGACAGTACAAGGGAACATGGTTGTCACTGAGACCACCGTCACAGCCTGAGGACAGGACAGCGACAGCACTGGACCTCTCCCCAGCCACAGACACCTGGCTACCTCTCTCCTCCTGAGAAATGATCTTAGTATAGCTCTGTCCTTCCGGTGCCTCACCACCATAAATGGAAGAAATTACTCTCTTAGTGCACAAACTGGAAGACCCCAGAGGAGAGATCTGGATGGGGTAAAGTGTTAGCCAGGCATGGAAGGGAGAGGCAGGATGGTATGAGGCCAGGTGCCCCAGGATGACCAGGGACTGGCATCCGGGGTAAGGACCCTGCCTGGCCGGTTCCACACAGCTGTGGGGTGGTACAGGATGAGGCTCGCCTTCCACAGGTGTCTGGGTCCAGGCCTCACCCACGTGCCTCTGGGGCCTTGTGTTTGGTAATTAACTAACGTGGGCATGAAAAGAATTCCTACCACCATTTCATCACCGCCACCACCCCATTCTCTAGGGGTGCACTGCAAGCCCACAACTCCCTGCTCCCCATTTCTAAAGATCTCTCCCAAATGATCATCTAATCTGCCTGTCTCTGCAGAAGGCTGGAATGATCCATATTCAGTGGCCTTCCAACATGGCCCTAAGGCTGTCCTGGCTGCTTGGGAACTGCAGCTATGAATAACTTTAGTTTTATCTATTCTATGCAAACTACATCTCCTCCGACGGTGACTGCCCGAGTTAATCTGCCTTAAGGAGAATTAGGGAGGCGCATGAGGTCCTCAGCCCTAGCTGTGATCCACTGAGCACGCTCTGTGGGGCCCAGTTCCTCATGAATAAACCACTGGCTGGATTAGACAACAGTCTTCAGAATTGCTTCTGGCTGCTGAGTTTTGTTTTGAGGTTTTTAAAATGGCAAGCCTAACTTCCCCATCCTTCCTCCCAGATGCACAGCTGAATGGAGGCTCCGAGGCTCTAATGGCTGCCAGGCTTCCCATCCCAGTGGCCACAGTGACCACCTTAATGCTTGCTGAGGAAACAAGAACTCTCACCATGAAGTCTAGCTGGGCCTAGCCTGCAGGCCAACTCTAATTCTCCTATGGGTGAGAGCAAGCCCAGCGGCCAAGGTCAGGGCAAGCAAAGGGCAGCCTAAGCTTTGTGGGTCATAGGGGAAACAGGATCCAGATGGGCGGGGCTGTTTGCAATGTCCATGTCCCAGTTGAGAGTAGTCATTGCCCTTGCTGACCATTTTATACCCTTTGCTCCAGGCAGAGGTCTTGGGAGGGGCAGACCCCAGGTTTAGGAAGGGTTCTGTGCCTTGGAATCCTCCACCCCAGTCATCCCCAAGCAAGGTGGGCAGAGGCCCAAATGTTCCTTTGTTGACCTTAGGTACAAACTGGCCAGGTTCTAGGGGACCCTTGAGGGACTGGAAGCCAGGACCCTGTGGCTGGTATCAACTTTATAGCCACTTGTCCTTCAGGGATAGCCCAGTGGACACCAAGCTGTCTGCTTGGGTCTTCCTGGTGGAGCCACACATGGCCAGAGCAGTGGCCATCTGCAGTGCAGACCCCGTCCCTGTAGAGATCCCCTGGAATGATGCACCCTCCCACTCAGGCCTTCCGCCACAACCGCCCAAGCACTGCACAGTCTCGGGTGCTCTAACATCTGCTGTCTGTGATTCTGTGCTAAGTTCCTCTTGGGAGTCCCCGGTGTCTGCTTCCCAAAGCTGCCATGCACCTCCCAACGCGGGAAAGAACCTTAACCACACAAAGAGGTTACTGCAGCGATGGGTGTGCATGTGCGTGCGTGCGTGCGAGTGTGCTTGTGTGGTGCTTTCTTGCATGAGTTTAAGATGCCAGGCAGGACACACAGTTCCCCAAGAATTGTTAATTTGGCTGTCAACACTTCCTGATGGTTAGAATTTACGATGAATGCTCTTATTTTCATTAACTCACAAGAAAGCTTGCTGTGTTGTCGTTACCTGGGATTCCAGAAAGTGACCTTTTTCTTGGGTTTCCTTCACAATGTCACATGACAGGATAGAGGAAACCGGAGCCAGCGCTCTTTGGGGCAGACATACCCAGGAACCAACAGACACCTGTTCTGTTAGGTAAAGCGTTCGGCAAAGACCGGACCAGCGAGAAACTGTGACGCTAAACTGCGTGTCTGGTTCTTAGGAAGACAGGGGCGTTCTCATTCCTGACCTACAGGATCCACCCCAGTGGCTGGATCCATTTGCCGAAATTCTGTGAATGTGAAAAAGACACTACTGATGAGATCCACACATCTGAATACTATTAAATTATTTAACACTCATCACTCTGTTTCCTTTTTTTTTTTTTTTAATGGTGGGGAAAAATCGCACACCAGGGCTTTGCACCAGCTAGGTAAGCACCTGATACTGAGCCACAGCCAGGCCGAATGACTCGATTCCTAAAATGTGCATTTCTAAGGGTATGTGATGTGAAACCAGGAACCAGAAAGCAAAGTTCCTTAACATTGGTTGTTTCTGGGCTGGAGATGCAGTTTAGTGCTAGAGTGCTTACCTAGTATTCACAAAGCCCTAGGTTCGGTCTTCAGCACCTGAGTGACCCTAGTGTGGTGATGCACACTTATAATCCCATAATTTGGGAGGTCACGAGTTCAAAGTCATCCTTGGCTACAAAATGAGTTTGAGCCCAGCTACAGGAGACCCTGTCTCAAGATAAAAGAAGGTTGCTTCAGGGCAGGAGAGATGGCTCAGTGGGTCTAAGAACACTGGCTGTAAGCCAGCTATGATGGCACACACCTTTGATCTCAGCACTTGGGAGGCAAAGGCAGGTGTATCTCTTAGTTCGAGGCCAGTTCAGTCTACAATGAATTCCAGGATAGCCCTGGCTGTCAGGGCTACAGCCAGGGTTACACCGAGAAATCTTGTCTCAGAAAAACAACACTGGCTATTTGTCCTGAGGACCCGGGTTCAATTCCCTGGACTAACAAGGTGGCTCACAACCACCTATATCTCTAGTTCCAGGGGATCTAATACCTTCTTCTGGCCTTCATAGGCACACATACACATAAATAAATAAATAACACAAATCTTTCTCTAAAAGGTTGTTTCCACTCATACTATAAATCTCAACGTTTTTAGTTTACTCTGTAGTTTGTCTACAGAATTACATTAAGCTGATAAACCAACCGTTGCTCAGATGTCATGTGACCTGTGGTTGCTGCAGATCAGCAAGGCTTATGGGTGACAAAGGGAACTTGAACTTGTCACTCAGCCAGCCACAAATTAGCAAGGGAAACGCTACACCCATGCACTGTCCTACTTCTTCCCAAAATGTCACCCATCTTTAGGGACAGGCTGAGGGTATCCTCATGGCGTAGCAGCTCCCCTGAGGCTCCAGGCACACGTGGAAGGGTCTGTCCCAGCAGCAGCTGACACGACTCTGCACACGGTGCTAGGCGATAAGTGCACAAGTGACGACCTGGGAAGGACGCTTATGAAACAGACCCGGTGCCATCAGGGATGAGCGCACCGCCCGGAGGATGCTGTGCGCTTGCCTGATTTTGCTGATCGCATCTGTGAGTGAACGTGCATCAGGGGTGTGCTTTTCCTTGTGAGCTTATGCTGCAGTCGGCGTCAGCCAAACCAAGAGCTGAGGTCAGGGGACTATAAACCCAGTGGATCCAACGTCACTTGAGGCAAGGTCACTGGAGGGTCTCCATGGTCCTCCTGGTGTTTGGGCATACCAGGGTAGTGCAAGGACTGGACTCCTCCAACAGTGATTCTCCTGGGCCTCCTACACTGTTAGATGTATGGCTCAGGGACCCTGAGAGATCCCCCACTGAGTCCCTCAGGTAATGGGGAAGATTCTTCAACTGCCTTCAGCAAGTGAGACATTCCTGCGGCCACAAGCCCAGGACACACAGCTTCCAATGCCACCTAGCATGCCCCACCATCTGCAGTAGGGACAGGACCATGGGAGCACAGGGAACTTCCTAAGGCGGGCGGCCACCAGCAGCAGAGGCTACACTATGCCCTCACATGCATTCAGACCTCAAGAGGGAAGGCAGCATTAACCACATGCCCAGATCTAGTCACTGGCTCCTTCTGGGGCACACGTTAGGCCCCCAGACCCCCCCTCCGCCCCCATCCTAATCTGAGAAACACCAGGACCAAGTCTTGGGGCTTCCTTTCAAAGAAGGGCTGGGTGAGCCGGGCTCCTGCCACTCAGCTCCCCTAGCCACCCCGCAGTGACGGAGCCAGGGTGCTCCTGGCTGATGTGTCACGCCGCCGTTCAGGAAAAGGGAAGGACTTAAAACCTTCCACGGCTGGAAAACCACACTCCCCATGTGTTCTGACCACGGCACTCCCCACTTCCAATTCTCCCTCCATTTGAGTGTGTGTGTGTGTGTGAGTGTGTGTGTGAGTGTGTGTGTGTGCAATATGCATACATGTCTGTTCTACTTTGGGTGCATGTCTGAAGAGGGGCGATCTTGCATGTGGAGGTCTGAGGCTGAGGTTGGTAATATCCTTGATTGCCCTACCACCTTATTGACGGAGGCAGGGTCCATCTTTTAATCAAACCCAGAGCACGCTGATATGGCTGGTCTCGCCAGCCGGCTTGCTCTGAGGACCCACCTCTGTGTTTGGGGGCTGGGATCCTGGGTGGGCCGCCATGCCCACCTGGAACTTCCATGGGTTCCGGGGATTCAAATTCAAGCAGTGAAACATGTGCTTTAACACACACCAAATCATGTCCCCAGCCCCCACTCTGAGATCATTGGCTGGGAAATAAGGACAGTTCACCATACACCCATATTTTCACAGCCTGCGTGTTCACTATAGCTAGTGTGAGACAGCTTGTCTCTGTTCACGGTGAAAGGATGCCCACCCACCCAAACAGCTCCTCAGATCTCAGCGGACACTCTAAACACCCAACAGCCTGCCTCCCTGACCCAGGAAAGGAGACACCATCTCTGGGGCCCAAGGAACTTTCTAGAATGATAGAAACAGTCTCTCAGTGGGCCATTGGATTTGTGGCTGCTTGCACCTCTCAGAACCCATCAGGTGGGAACCCGGAAATCTGTCAACTGGGTCATGTATGGACTGATCCTCAGTGTCTCCTGAGGAGGGACAAGGACGGCCAGCCCCATGCTATCACCATCATGGATGACATGAACCTGGGAGGCGCATACCGAATGCTGTAAAATGAAAAGTACTTCGCTTTCAAGCTATGAGCAGAATAGCCTGGCTTAAACTTCACTGGGTTCACGGTTCCTGTCCGAGACAGGCTCGTTTCCAGAGCTCCACCAAGTGGCCGTTGATGGACTTGCTGTCAGTGGACTTCAAGCCTCTGGCTGCACAAGTCAGGGGAGGAGCCCAGGTGCCAGGAGGGGGCATGCCAGGTAATTGCTTTCAGCTTGCCAAGCCCAAGGCTCTCCCACAATGGCTTCAACCTCAGACAGTGTGGGCACCGGCTAAATATCCCCGAGCAATCCCATTGATGTCCGCCAGCTCCACTACAGGATGGATTTACACGGAGAAACACTGATTTCTAAGCATGAAGTTGGGCTCCTACACACAACACTTATCCCATGATCCTTAGCAAATGTGGGTCTGGGGATGACAGTCGGTCTTTGCCACACCACGGCTAAGCTGAAGGACATGGTTCTGGGATGTGGCATGGCTCCCAGAGGGATGGGGGTCCTGTCACTGTTTTCCCTCTGCTGTGGAGGATACCTGCAGCCAGGGCTGTTCTCTGGCTGCCTTCTTGCCCCAAAGGCCCCAGACTACAGTCTTGTGGAGCTCTGGAGGCAGGTCCTTGGCATTCTAGCCAGCAGGGGCTAAGACCTCGCATGCTCCAGTGGTAAGGTATGGCTGTTCTGTGTGCAGGCTGTTCTGTAGGTGGGACTGCTAACTACCATGAGGGGCTTCCAGGTCACACCTGCTGTGGCAGACGCTGCAGCGGCTTCTTAGCAGGAGTCTTGTCTCAGGAACCTGGCACTTTGTCAGGTGTCCCCAGATTCCCCTCCACTGTGCCTTCAGGGAAGCCCAAGGATCCTGGCCCTGCTAAGTGAGCCTGGGTTATTTAGCTGTGGGTTCCCAAGTCCTGCGTATGAGATGCAGGCAGCCAGGATCTCCTCAGGACAAGGATCCCCTCAGTTCTTGGGCATCCCTGACGCCCCCTTGGTCAGCCGCACATACAGGTTCAGGTCTGAAACTCCTGTAAACAGGACACAGGCTCTCGACTAACACAGGAAACTCAAGACCAATGTGATGGTTTGTATCAACTTGATAGGACCTGGACTCACCTATGAGACAAACCTCACATGTCGGTCAGAGACTTTCTAGATTGGGTTAACTGAAGCGGGACCCTCCCTAAATGCAGGCAGCTCCACTCCACAGGCTGGCATCCCAGATAATAAAAAGGAGAAAGAGAACAAAGAGTATCAATACCCATTGCCCTCCGCTTCCTGACCACAGACACAACGTGACCAGCAGCGTCTTATACATGCCTTTGCCTTTCCCACCATGATGGACTGTACCCTCTCAAACCAGGAGAGATCAACCTTCCCCTGAAGGTGCTTCCTGTCAGGTATTAGGACACAGCAATGAGGAAGCAGTTGATACAGTCAACGCAGCACAGGAGGGACCAGGCTGCTGCTGTGGGCCGCAGGAATATATCATAACAACTCAGCTGGTTATGGCAAAGTCCCTACCTGGAGGATCAAGGAACTCCTTCAGAGGAAGCCAAATTCCAAGGAGCTTTTGGTGTTACTTGGCTTGTTATATATCAGCTGTCTTCTATTATGAAAATCATGTGTGCCTTCATAGTTTTCCCAATTGATTTTTCCCTAAGAAGGGCTAACAGTGTGGACTGATCACTCTCTGGACATACACATTCCAGGTATTTGGAGAACAGCCTCAGGAAAGGCTTTCTCTGGAATCAGATATCTCCCTTGGCCACTTTCAAGGACTAGCAGTAATAACAGTCCACATGCAAGTCTCCTGATTTAAGGTAAACTCCACAAGGAGACACCACCTAGGTCAGGCAGACATTAAGTAATAGCTTTACACAATTTAGCTCGGACCCTCCTTTCTTACAGCCTTACTAACTTTATAGACCTTTAACTCCTTACCCAACCACTTCTAGGAATATTTAGATAACCTTCTGCACTGACAGCTATGCTCAGCCCGAACCCCAGTTCAAGTCTCCTTGTAATTATCATCATTGGCAGCATCCCATCAGGTCCATCCCCAGGTGGAGGAAAGTACCTTATCAGAGATACCTCTGTATTCTCTAAGAACAGACTTAAGCATCCAGACTACCCATTTGAGAAGGCCTGGCAGATGTGCCAATTAAGCTTAACTTTCCCCTTTCCCAAACCTTACCTCTGGTTCCAGATCTCCCTTTAACTATCACCAGAGGCATCTAGCTGTACACAGGTTGCCTAGCAACTGAGCACACTTTCCCCCACCCTGCAGAAAAACGGCAGATAGCTTGGACAGATAGGAACCACAGGAAAAAAGAAGACAGTTTTACTTTCTCCCACTGACCTAGCAACTTATAGATTCTCAACATTTTCTACCAATCACGTTTAAGACTATAGCTGAGCACATAAGATCCCTCTTCCTAGATATTACCCAAATTTAGCCTTTAGTTTATTCATTTCCCCATTGGTCATTTCCCTTTGGGGTTGTAAATGATAATTAATGGTTATTGCCCTTCTATGTGATTCTTATCACCCCTCCGTTTGACCCTGGAATCCTGCCTTTGCCCTGCCAAGGGACTACTGCTTGTAAGTGTATATATACCGGGACTCCCAGGGCACTGGCAGAAGAAGATTTGGAAGAAGAAATGACTAGACTAAGAGCTCTGTGTGCTGAGATTCTATTTCCCGAAAATAGTCCTCACCGTCCGTAGTTTCTCTCCTGAGCCCCTGGGACGTATGGTATTAAGGCTGGTCCTTCTAGTACCGAACAAGAGGCTGTGACTACGCACACTCACACAATGCAGGCACAAATGCACACAACCATGCAGCCCCAAGGCAGCTCTCTCTGCACAGCAAGCTGAGGGTGGTGGGAAAGCGTCACAGGCGCAGACACAACTCAGGACTGTGCTTGCCAAGGGCTCAGCAGGCTTGGGCTCACACCATGGCTTCACTCTGAGACTGCTTGTACCTGACTCAGGCTACATGTCGGGGGCGGCCGCGTGTTAGAGCCTCTCAGCCCACAGCTAGGGAGGTGTTAGAGCCTCTCAGCCCACAGCTAGGGAGGTGTTAGAGCCTCTCAGCCCACAGCTAGGGAGGCGGACAGCAGAAAAATGATAGAGTAACCCCAAGTCCTTTCATTTAAGGAGGCAATGGTGAAGGGTGGTGTCCTAGTTAGGGTTACTATTATTGTGATGAAATGCCATAACCAAAGCAATTTGGGAAGGAAAGGGTTTATTTGGCTTACACTTCCCCCACATCATAGGTCATCACTGAAGTTAGTCAAGACAGGAACTCAAGCAGGGAAGGAAGCTGGGGGCAGGAGCTGATGCAGAGGCCATGGAGGGTGCTGCTTACTGGCTTGCTCTCCATGGCTTACTCAGCCTGCTTTCTTATAGAACCCAGGACCACCAGCCACAATGGTCTGGACCCTCCCCCTTCAATCATGAATTAAGGTAATGCTCTACAGGCTTGCTTACTGTCCAGTGTTACGGAGGCATTGTCTCAACTGGGGTCTCCTTCTCTCAGACGACTCTAGCCTGTGTCAAGTTGACATAAAATTGGGCAGCACAGTGCCAGGTGGTGGTGACGCACGCCTTTAATCCCAGCACTCGGGAGGCAGAGGCCGATGGACTTCTGTGAGTTCGAGGCCAGTCTGGACTTCACAGAGAAACCCTATCTCAAAAAACAAAAACAAACAAATCCCAAATTCAAAATCAAATAAACAACAACAACAACAATAACAAAAATTACTGGTGACGTGCTCAGTTGATAGAGGGCCTGCCTAGCATGCACAAAGCCAGGAGTTCCAACCCCAGCATGGCATGAACTAGGTGTGGTGGTGCATACCTGTAACCCCGGGGCTTGCGAGTAGAGGCAGGGGGATCAGGAACTGAAGGTTATAGCGCCAGATGCCAGACTCAAATCTGTCTCAGATTCCTAGGAAGGGCCTGCAGCTGTCACTACAGAGCCGGTCAGAGGGTCACTTGGTAGTGTACTGGGGACACAACACCGTGTGGCCAGCACTCCCTTGGGTGGGACAGTCTATAGCACCTGTGAGGAAGTCACAGTGGCCCAGGACAGAGCCCAGGCCCAGTCTGCACAGCCTCACTAGCTGCAGGTGAGGACTAGCTCCAGATAGATGAGACACAGAATAACTGGAGCCCGTTAAGTGCAGGCGCTTGGACCAAAGAGCCTGTTAAACAGCGTGTCCACGTCACTGAGTGAGGGAAGATGCCAGACAGAGAGCTGAGACACCAGAGATAGCTGGGGAGCAGGTGGGAAGCAGAGGTCAGGAGGAGTCAAGCCCAGCACAACGAGGACTGAGAGTCCACAATGGAGAATCACCAGACACAGAGCTTCTGCCACGTGGCATGAACCAAGACTGGACTCACACCAACCTTTCAATCCTTGGTCTCAATTCCAGACCTGGTGTTCCTCTCCTGCTTTTCTATAGCCCTGACATGGAACAGGCTTCAACCAGGTCACTCTGTGAATCTCTTCCTCATGACCCCTGGGCCGCCACATCCGGAAGACGACAGTTACAGGAGGCATTGGGCCCTCACCTTAGTCAGCATGCCATAATATGGCAAGATGACCCTCCACCCCTCATCCAGCCTCTGGGCCACACACTGAGTCGCTACCATAGCCCCTAGATGCCAATACCCGATAACCATCAACTTTTCAAACTGCAGGGTCACCGAGTAAGGAAGGCACTGGAGAAGGGTAAAACAGGGTCTGTTTGCTACTGCCACTCTGAGGACTTTCAGGGAGAAGCGTTGGCAGTGCGTCCTGGAGGAGATGCTACAGAGCAGCTCAGTTGTGTGGTACCTCTGCCCATCCCTGTACAAGACCAACACTGCAGCAGCCTCGGGGTTCGAAGGAGTTGGGGTGATCTGCCAACTAGCTAGGAGATTTGACAATGTTCCTACTTGAGCCTGGTAATGGCACCAGCCTTGTACACGTGCCCCAAATACCAAACTACGTGTTTTGTTGTTGTTTTTTCATGTGCAATGGTATTTTGCCTGCAGGTATGTCTGTGTGAGGGTGCCACATTCCCTGGAACTGGAGTTACAGACAGTCGTGAGCCACCATGTAGGTGCTGGGAATTGAACCCAGGTCCTCTGGAAGAACAGTCAGTGCTCTTAACCATCGAGCCATCTCTCCAGCCCCGAACTACATGTTTGAAACAGCAGAATTATAACACAAACCTCAAAAAAAGCTGGGCTTGAAAATGTAAAGACGTGGCAAAGTTGCGAGGGTCAGAAAAGTCACCACTGTTGACACAGTATGAAATGACACTGAGCAGCTGTCTGCTCTGTCCCTGGGCTCCGTCTCTTTTGAAGAGGAAGCATAAGGTACATGGCCTTTTGTGTCCCGCTTGTCCTGAGTGTGATGTCTCAAGGGCCTCCCAATGCAGTGTGTCAGAACTTCATTTCTCTTCATGCGACATGATGTCTGACTGTAGAGACAGATATGTGTGCTGTTCTGGTTGCTTCCACCACCTGGTGGTGTGAATGGGTCTTTGTGAGAAGGAGGGTCAGCCTGTGACATGCTCCCTGCCCCCAGCTCCCAGCGCAGTACAGAGGACCGGCAGCTGTGCAAACGGAGACGCCTGGGGACACCTTGCTGCCCAGACTATTTGTGGCCTATGGCCAGGTGATGACAGCACGAGTGACATCCAAGTGTATCCTTGCCAGGCATGTTGACGCACACCTTCAATTCCGGCTCTCAGTAGGCAGAGACAGGTGTATCTGTGAGTCTGAAGCCAACCCGGCCTATATGGTGAGTTCCAGGTCAGCCAGGGCTACATAGTGAGAAGCTATCTCAAAAACAAGATCAACCAATTAAACAAAAACTAAGGTGTGTCCTCAGAGAGGTGACAGGGAGGAAGGAAGCCACCATGCTCATCACAGGCTCAGTCGGGGAAATTAACAAACGATGGGAGCGGGGAGGGGAAAGCCAGGGTGGAGGCAGCCAAAGCCTCCCAGCTAACGGGGAACCACAGTATGGCAGGGAACACGGAAGAAGGAAGCCACATCTACCCACTGCCCCTTCCCTCCTTACGCAAACCTTCAGTGTCCTTCCCCTCCTTCCTACACAGCAGAGACGCTGCCCTTAGTGTTGGGGCCCCAGTGAGCCAGGGCTGCAGGCTGTGCAGGTCCCGAGCACAGCAGCATGAATGCACAATCCCAGGGCAGCGTGAACATGCAATCTGGGGCCACATCTTCCTGAATTCTGAATTCCCACAGTGGCATGTGCATGCAATCCAGGGGCCACATCTTCTTGAATGCTTACGGCAGCATGAACTTGCAATCTGGGGCCACATCGCCCTGACTTCTATTACCAGGTCAGAGCAAAAGTTCAGATCAGCACTTTGGCGGCTGACGGCCCACGTCCAGGAAATCGAAAGCTTAGGCAGGGGTCGCAAGTTGAAGAAGTCCTTGTGATACCAAGGAAGTGGTCCTGAGCTGGGACGGAAGTTTGACTGGGAGGTTGTTTGTGGCCAGGGGGCCCTGTAACAGCCATGGGAACCAGTTTACCCAGCACCACTAGGGGAGCCACAACCACTGACTTTCCTGTCACACTTCTGGGGCAACCCGAGCATGGGTGCTATCATCACTCATCTCACAGGAGGGAACTGAGGCCTGGGGACGGGGTGCCTGCCTCCAAAGATCACACACCAGTGAATGCACAGAGAGCAGCCACCACAGTTCCATTGCCCCACACCTGCGCACTCAGCCTGAGGACCCAGCACAGCTCAGGAAGGAAGCACAGGACTGGAGGACACGCAGGGCCCTCCCACGGTGCAGAGCCTTGGGGGGAGGCGTCTGTGCCCTGCAGTCCGGTGAGACTCCAGTGCCTAAGCTGCTGACACTGAGGAAGGCCGCTCACTACCTCACTTCCGCTCAGGCTGAGCTGCAGGGCCTCTCGTCCACTGCCTGTCCCCAGAGGCTCCTCCCACTGGGCCCAGAGGTGCCCAGTGACAAGCAGAAGATGCCTCCAGAAGAAGACTGACACCACAGGGTTGTCCCTTCACCAGGGGACAGGGTATATGACAGGCAGAGGGTACAGCAGCAGGCTTCAGAGCGGAGCGTGTACTTCCCTTACCAGCAGGTAAGAGTCCCCACCCAACCTCCACGCCCCGCCCAGGTCCTCCCTATGCCCTGCCCAGTCCCCAGGCGAGGGCCCAGGCACTAGCACTTTGGGACAAGGCCCAAGTGAGAGGCTGGAGAGTGAGCCACGTGCCTCTCGAGGCCGCATCCTCTCATGGAAGCCTGACAGGCAAGGGGCACTGGGAAGGGCCAGAGGTCACTTAGGGACCATTCTTGGGAGGGATACAATAGGATTTTGCAGAATTGTCAAGAGCCATTAGGAAGGACACAACCAGTGGCCACACAGAGAACTGGGGTCAAACACGGAAGTGCCAGAGGCAACCCCAACACAAAGCAGTGAAGAGTGGCCCTTTGTAGCCCCATGAGCTGAATCTGCCATTCTGAACTCACGGCCAGAAGGCCGACACAGCAATGTGGGCTGAGAGATGTCTTCACCACACATCAGGCAGAAAGGGGGCAAGAGAGGGTGCAGTGAGTGTCCTGGAGGAGAGAGGCCACTGGGAAGAAGCCTCCTCAGCCATTAGGGTCTCCTCAGACTTCTCTCCCACTAGAGTCAGATTCTTCCTTCCTGGGGCAGTATCCTGGCAGCATCCAGGGCTGAAAATGCACTCCAGAGGAATCCGGGTCCCCAGTTAATGGCTTTCTAATCCCCCTCGAGTCAGAGAGCAGTTGGCCCCACAGGGACTACCCAGAGGCCCAGGCTGACAGTGCTGGCATGGCTCTCCCACAGCACTCAGGAGGCTGAAGGAAGTGTCGGAGACCAGTGCCACAGGGCAGCCTGGGGCTGACGCCACGTCACCAGCCTGCAACATGAAGTAAGCCGCAAACGTGTGCGCACATGGGGGTTGGGGTGCAGATGAAGACCACTGCATTTCAAAACTTTAAAGTGTTCCCAGGACTGTTTACCTCCATTCGGCTGAGGCTCTCCCTCCAGAACTTGGTGCCTCCGCTCTGCACTCCTCCCAGCCAGCATCACGGCATCCCGGGCAAGGCCCGGTGAAAAGGATGCTGGACACCAGCAAGCTGACGTGCCTTCTGGCATCATGTCCAGGCAGAGCCCCACTCCATGCAGCCCCAAGATGCAGCTCAGGCCATCGGTGTGCAGGGTAATAAGGGGTGCCCAGTGTCACCTGCCATCCAGGCTGGAGTATTTACTGTCCTGAGTCACTCTGTGTAAGGGACAGAGGGGCCAGACCCTCATCCACATGGCAAGGTTCCAGGAGCTGGTTTGCTCTGGTTGGGAGGACTTTTCCTGGCTGGGTGGGGCTCCAGCTCCTATTTTAGGTTGCAAATGTCTTTGCCTTCTGGGAGTGGCCAGCACACTTCTGCAAGGAAGCTCTGGAAACCCTCAGACTCACACACACGTCACTCCTCCACCTCAGAGATAGGTCCATTTGGATTCTTCTAGGTCACATGGTCCAACCATAGCCCGCTTAAACACAGTGTGTGGTTTGGATGACTCCAGGCCAAATCCTGTTTTTCCTTAGGAACTGTGGGTGTCTGTGCCAGTCTGTCTTTGGCAACTGTTGAGCAATGGAGGGAAGACTGGATGAACAGAGAGCATGCCCCAGCCTCACAGCAGCCCCCGACAGCTGACGGAGCCTTGTGTGGACCCTAGGGCCTGGCACAGGTGAGCACTTTTTATTTTTAAGTTCTGGGGAGAGAGCAGCCCTGCCCACCCAGTTTGTCCTCCTGCCTCGCACTTACCAGTGAATGTGCCCAGGAGCCATTTATGGCTGTGGGAAGTTTCTGAAAACCAATTTCTTTATGGTACAGGTCAGTTTCGTTAAGTAAAAGAAAATTCTAGACTTTGGTATGGCGATCCAGCTTCTTCCTGAAGGAAGGGTTCATGGTGGCTCTGGTCAGCTCCCACGTGAAACGGGGAAAGGCCAAGGACGGCGAGAAAGCACAGCCAATGTCGGCAGGGCTGTCAGGCTGATCGCTACGGGGGGATTTTCACCAGGGGGTGGGGGGGGAGAGGCTGGGGTGGCAGAACATAAAGACTGTTCTGTAGGAGGCACATCTGGAACGTGTGACATAAAGACTGTTCTGTAGTGGGCACATCTGGAATGTGTGCTTGCATGGGGCGGGAAACCTGAAAACAGAGAAGTCTTTTGGGTGGACTACAGCAGGGTGAGGTGGAATCGCAGACAGCGGGAACGGGCAGGGGCTGGGAGGGAGCCACTGGGAACTGGGCGATCAGGCCGACCACCTCTGCACAAGGCAGGCTTTGTACTCAGATGGGTTAGCGCTATGCTCCGGACACGTGTCCCTGTGAGCTAAGGCAAGGAGAGCTAATAGTTGTCCAAGCAGGTTCAGCTCACTTCCTAAGACCTCCAAGAAGATTCTCCCAGTGGTGCTCTGAAGTGCCTCCTTGAGGCCAGTTAGTGAACCCAAGACTTGAAGGGGAACTTGCCTCATCACCTCCCAGCAGACACATGGGGGCACAGCTGTGGTACTGATGGCTCACTGGCCCCCAGAGACAAACACCCGCTCCTTCGGAAGCGGCAGGAGGCATGGAGTCTTTGTTCTTTCTGGAGAAATTAACTGACACAAGCCAAGCACCCCACTGCCCTCCTAGCTCCTCTTTTGGGGCTCACCTGTTTGTCTCTGGCTGGCCAGAGAGGTTCCTTGTGCCCACACCTAGCTCAGGCAGGATGTCATCAAGACCGAAAATAAACAGCTGGTCAAAAGAGCCAGAAAGAAGCCGGGCGGTAGTGGCGCACGCCTTTAATCCCAGCACTCGGGAGGCAGAGCCAGGCGGATCTCTGTGAGTTCGAGGCCAGCCTGGGCTACCAAGTGAGTTCCAGGAAAGGCGCAAAGCTACACAGAGAAACCCTGTCTCGAAAAACCAAAAAAAAAAAAAAAAAAAAAAAGAGCCAGAAAGACCTGTAGTTGGAGGAAGGATCGACGGGGAGGTGCCACGGAGGGCAGGCTGCAGAGAAGCCATCATTTTTACTCTCAGAAGCCCTTGCCAGACTCCTTCGCCGTCCCCTCTTGCCGTCACTACTGGGGTACCAGATACTGCAGAGTGAGGGCAGGAAAAGGTCTGAGCATGTGCCCCTACCCCCCCCCCACCCCCGGAGCCTGCCACTGTAGTATGAAGACACCCTCCTCAGTGGCTGTGCACATCCTCACAGAACCAACAGTGAGTGAATCAAGACTATAGAAAGCCACAAAATACCAAACACCTCCTGGCGACCCCTGAACTACTCCAGCTCCGCCCTCCCTCCAGGCAGCCCAACACAGGAAGGCTCAATCTCTTGGTTGGTATCTGGGGCAAATGCTGCTTTCGGGGAAACTCCGGATCACCCACTCTAGCCACAGGCATCGTGCGGGTTTCTACTCAGCGGCCAAGTAGCTGTTTGAGCTACTGGATCTCAGGACAGCAGAGGGTCGGTCTCAGGTGGCACCTGGTGACAGGGACGGTTGGCTCTAGTGCTGAGGGCCGGTACCACAGTCCTGAACAGGAATTTAAAGGCCAGCTTGCTCCTCAGCACTCCCCAAGCTCAGCTGTGTGGGAAAGGTCACACACAGCCATGTGTAAGGCAGAAAGGTGGCAGATAACCAGCAAATGCAGAAACCTCCCAAGATCCTGGTCTCACCCTGTCTGGGTCCATCCCTCCGCTCCCATCTCTGGTGTTCACAGAGGGGAAGCTGAGAAAACACAGGCCTTCAATAACCACAGAGTGCTCCCACTGAATACGCTGCCAGGGAAGGAGTGTGCTAGGGTTCCTGAAAAGAGGGGGAGGCGTCTGCACAGGAAGGGTCCGCCTTCTTACCCACAGGCCCATGGAGCTTCCATTCTGCAGGAAGCACGAAGCCTGTGTGAGGCCAGGCAGGTCTGCCCAGCTGGGCCACTGGTCACTGGACTGGAGTGCCAGTCTGGCCCACAGCACATGGGGACCAGGAGGAGTACTGAAGCTCCTAGAGGCCAGGGTCTGTGTGTACGTGTGCATGTGTACACACAGTTTATGTTGGTGTGTGCCCAAGTGTGCCTATTTGTAAAGATGTGCCTGTGTGTGCACACACATCTACATGTCAGATGTGTCTGGCATATGCATGTTTGTGTTTCAGTGTATCCAGATGCCTATCTACCTGTGTGTGTGCACATGCACACTTGTGTGTTGGTGCGTGCCTGGCTATACACACATGTGCATGCATGTTTGCATGTTCATGTGCCTCTTGTATACACACATGCACACACATCTACATGAGACAAAAGGCACATGTACCTTATCTGCAAGATTTGAAAAAGAAAACAGGAAACTGCTTTTATCTTTATCTTAATGAAGGCAATTTTCTCAATTTCTAAAAAAAAAAGTATAGAAACAGATAGCCTTGGGACCAAAAGAACAATCAAGGACAGACAGACAGGCCTGCGCTGTCCACTGTGATAGCCATTAAATCCCTCACTGCCCTTCCAGATCCCTGGGCTGGGGGGTCAGAGGCTGGTGGCCCCTAGCTGGCCCTACACACCACCGTGATGTCAGTCCAAGCTCCCCCAGGGTCCCACCTCTGTGCAGAGGGTTGACTGGGGGCTGGAGTGGGACATCAGGTCATGTGTTTGAAGCAGATACAGTGACTCACCAGCGGGTCCGCCCCAGTCTGCAGGGCAGGAGACGGGGATGGAAACATTTACAGAGCCAAGGCCAGAGGCGCTAGAATGGCTAAGTCCTGCCAGAAGGAGGAGACAGCTGAGGGACGGAGGGAGGTGGGGCCTGCAGGGTGCAGCACAGTGGGTCAGGCACAGGAACCCATCTCCCAGGGCAGCTCTGGCTTTCCAGGCACCAGCTCTGGACTCAGCTCCCCAACCCACTGTCCACCTCTGAAGTCTCCCACACCGTGCTCCCAGGCCTCCCATGGCCTTGGCTGGCAGTCTGTGGGGAATTACAGCAAACCTATGATTCCTCAAAGACTCACTCTTGAGACTGATGCTACTGTGGGGGTAGGAGGGAGCCAGCGAATCCTGATGTGGCCTGTGCCTCCACCTAGGATGCCGAGGCCACCTCACCCAAGGTACCACACACACATAAGGCCAGCCATGCTACCTGCGGGTCACACAATCGAATCTCACACATTTACGCTACATATGTGCAGAACTTGTGAGCCCTGCTGGAAAGATCTGCAAGTGTGGCTTGGAAGGGTCTTTAAGAGCATCGCTCCCATGCGGGAAGGGCTTGGGAAGCATTCTCATGGCCTTTGGAAAATGTCCTGTACTGTACCCACCCCCTTCCCCCACCTAAGCAGCGCTGCGTAAGTGAGGGGGCCACACTTACAGGAACCATTCTGAAGGGCTATTTACAGAGTGGTGGCCAAGAACCATTGTAGGAACACAACATTCTCAGACGCTAGCCTTGGGGAGCTCCCAAGAGACGCACAGCTGACCTTGGCAGCCCTTCTGCAGGGCTCTGGAGGCCCGGGGTTCTCAGCCTGAAATGCATCCATGGAGTGTCTGTCCCTCTTCTGGGGCATTCTAGAGTCTCTAAGAATGCTAGATTGAGTTGTGGTAAGAGAGTGGGACGGTGCAGCTACCCTGGAAGATTGGCATCTTCTCATCTGACCTGGTTAGTCACATCACTCTCAGATATGTGCCCCAGAAAAAAGGAAAGTGTTTGCACTGGAGGGCTGAGAGCAGCTGAGTAAGAGCGACTGCCTGACACTGTCCGACTTCTAAGTGACAGGAAGAAAGTACTAGTGGGCCAGGCAGTGACAACCAGGACACACGGTGCCAGGGGTAGGCGCCTCGTGTGCACAAGAAAGCAAGACCCGAAGGCTCCACACAAACCTACCATGTGCTAATCTGGAAATGTCCAAGTTGCACGACACAAAGCAGGCAAATGGCTGCTGGGGCTGGGCGCCAAGGGCGATCAGTGAGGGAGCTGTGTCGAGCGAGGGCTGTGACCAGATCCAAGGTGGCGCCTGCCAAGAAGTGTGTCACTTCTACAAGTTCTTTAAAATTATCTCAGCCAAACTAGGCTCAGATCTCGTGGTATTAACCCCCAGGCTGACCCAGGCAAATTAAAGCAGGCATAGTTGCCCTCCTGCACATATGAACTAAGGTTCAAGTACATCGCCAGAGACAAGTACGCCAGAGCACCAGTGTGCAGCGTTATCCAATGAAAGAATGCTGGGAGCCGAGCTCGGGCTGGCTTCCCTGTGTAGCCCCGCTGCCTCTCTCACCTCTTCCCATCCCGCTTGGGGTGGACTGGAGGAAGGGCAGTTGAGGAATGGTCAAGGCTACAGAGAAGCCCTGGACATAGAGTGCCAGGAGAGGGGGCAGACGGCTGGGTGGAGAAGAGCGGTTTGTGGAAAGTTTGACAGTAGAGGGCTCAGTGGCCATGTCAGGGAGAATATGCTGGTCAAGGGGCCAGCCAGGTGGTCCCGTGGACAGACGAGGTGCTGGCTAGGTCTGGAAGCATGTGACCCTGGGCTCCCAAGAAGGGCTAGACCCTCCTGACCTTAACAAAGACAGACAGTAGCAGGGCATTAAGGTCTACAGGGGGCGCTGTGCACAGGGAAGTCACACTTCATGAAGTAGATGGCTCTTGGCTACTCCCTCCCTAGCTGGCCTCTGCAGGACAGGACCGGACCGGGAAGCTCTTAGGGCCAGGGAAAGAGACCAGTTCACCCAGTCTGCATGAGTACCCACTCTCAAGGGACCAAAGCACACGACGGCACTTCTGTGAAACCCTCAACTTGAGCAGGCCAGGTACAGGAAGCAGAGCCCCCATGCATGGCTGCGTGACACCAGTGTCCACCCTCAGGAATCCATCCTTTCCTCTCCCATTCCCAGCTGGGAAAGGATACTGGTACCCAGTACATACTGGTACAACAGTTCCTAGTTGGAATGCTGAGACCCAAGAACTGGGTGATGAAGCCCACTTTGTGTGGGCCCAGATGATGCTAGAACATTCGGGACCTGAGTGAGGCCCCTCCACCCTGGGTGACAGCCTGCAGGCTCCTTCCTCTGGACTAAAGCACACGGTCTCAGAGGAACAAGTGCAGGCACCACACTGGTCCACCGGCTGAGAACCAGAGGCAGAGCTTACAGAGCCAGCCAGGAGGGCCTAGGTGACGGATGGCTGCAGACAGTACCCAGGAGCACACCGCACACCCGAGGCATGGAGTGGCTGCAGGGTTACATCAGATGTCTGCCCGGCAGCTCTGCTTCCTGACCGTGGTCAGAGATCACAAGACAACTTCCCATTCCACCTGACAAGACAGACTTCAGATTGCTTCCTCCCGAGCCGGCCATGACTCTTCATTTCCACACCGCTGGCTCCGTAAGCACTGGCAGCTGGAAGCCATCACAGCCACTGCTGTGTCTTTTCAGACTGAAAGAGATAGATACGATGAGGAGCCCGCAGGCCCACGGGGAGTAGCAAAGGCTGGTCAGCGGCGGCGGCACCATAAACATCCAAACACACCTCAGACTCATCAAAGTCAAGTCCAGTATGGCGTCACAGGGCCAAGCATGGTCACCTTCCTGCTGCTCAGGACACCCAGAGAGAACTGTCCTCCAGGTCTGAGGGATGACGGGGTGAACAGGACAGCAACATACAGTGGTGAGCTGATGACCAGGGCAGGATCCTTAAGTCCAGAACCCAAGAGGCTTGTAGACAGACAGAGGCTGGCCCAGATTCCTGAGTATAATAGCATATATTGTGAAATGCTCAAAATTAGTTTAAAAACAAAAAACAAAACAAACAAACAAACAAAAAACATTTGTAGGGGCTGGAGAGATGGCCTGGTGGTTGAAGAGCACTGGCTGTTCTTCCAGAAGAACAATTGGTTCAATTCCCAGCACCCACATGGTGGCTCAACATTGTCTGTAACTTCAGTCCCAAGGGATCTGACATCCTCTTCTGACCTCAGTGGGCACCAAGTATGCATATAGTACCCAGACATACATACAGGCAAAACAACCATGCACATAAAATGAAAATAACAATAATTAAAAAACTTAAATGATAACAAATTATAAAAACAAAGAACTTGGGGCTGGCTCAGTGGTTGAGAGTGCTTGCTACTTTTCCAGAGGACCTGAATAACCCCAGTTCCAAGAGATCAACACCATCACCTCATTCTGGTCTCCTCAGGCACCTGCAAACACACACACACACACACACACACACACGCATGCACGCACGCACGCACGCACGCACGCACACAAGCATAAAGCATTCCGAGGTGTGTGCACTCCTGCCTTTAAGTTCATGCCGGGAGAAGACCCACCTGCCCTTCTCCATCCCCTCTACACAGCGCTCCCCCCTGCCCATCCCCCTTTCCTGTCTCATGTCTTTGGTCAGGAAGCTGCGTGCAAGTGAAGCAGTATCTCCCTCCTTGTTTCCTATGAACAACCACTGTTGTAGCCTTTGGTTTTTGTTATTGTAGAAACACAGGTTCTTCATATATCATACGGCAGCAAGCAGCAGGCATCTTGGACCATAAGCATGAAACAGGAAGAAAGAGCAGGCGAACTGAAAGTGTGGCTGGGCTTTGTACCCTCAACGTGTGCTCTCAGCAGAGCCCTAACTCCTAAACCTCCTCAAACAGCGCCACCAACTGGGGACCAAGTATTCAGATACCTGAGCCTACTGGGGACATGTCATTCAAAACCCCAGAGAATCACAAAACCTCCGTCTGGGTACAGAGCAGCCACATCGCCAAGTGTGTGGCAAGCTCTGAGGCGCCCAGCAAACCATGCAGGCTGTTACTATTCGGGGGGAAGCTGGCTGGTTATAGGCATTCTCTATTTCAGTCACACATCAGTAAACTGTAGTCACACCGTGTGCATGAACCAGCCCAGGCCAACACACACACACACACACACACGCACGCACATGCACGTGCGCACGCGCACACACACGCACACACGCGCACACACACACACCACCCAGACATGTGGCCCATCTTCAGAGCAAACAAAAGCTGGCTCTGGACCTAGGCCAGCCTTCAGGAGTCCCATTAAAATTACGGCTGCAGTTTTATCACACTCAATTTCCTGTGAATAAACAGCAATACTATTTCCTAGCCTCCACTACTATTTAGTTACATTTTAGAGGGAGGAAGGGAAACGAAGGGTATGGAAACAAAATTATTTTATTTACCAAAGATGGGCTGGCAGGGCACTGGGGCTGCCAGTGTCCTTATTTAAAGCCCTGCCCAGGAATTTACCGCGACTAAGTGATTTCTGGCCAATAGGGCAGGAGGCCTGGCTACCCCTGGGAGTTCCCTCTGCAACATGGCACCCCAGTTCCTAGAATATCTCAGTCTCAGATGCAAAGGCATGCCTGTGCCAGCAATGGCAACCAGGGCTGGTGACTCAGTGCGGGGCCCTAAAACCCTGTTCCCGGGAAGCTGCCAGCTGAACCCTTCATGGGAGACAGGCCACTGCCAAGAGCCACGCTCAAAGGCCACTGTTAGCTGCTGAGCAACAGTGGGGGTCCTTGTGGGTCAGCAGTGAGGGTGCCTGGCGCTTCTCTCGACTCATCCTGTACCTCTTGTTGGAGACTCTGAGCCCTTGCTCTTGACACCAAACTGGGCCCTGACATCCTTCCTCCATTCACAGAGGCTGGCTCTAGGCTCCCTCTGGAAACCCCGCCCCTTGTGCAGCACAGGCGTCCTTCACTGGGCCAGCCAGGTGGCCACACAGCATGTGCTTCTGTTTCAGGTCTGACAGCTCTCCTGAAGATGGACCGCCACAACATGTCCTGGATCCGCTACCCTAGCCATGTGTCCCCAGCTGTGGAGGACGTCATTGCAGCACAGACCATCATTTCTCGGTGCATGCATGTGTATGTAGCAGTGTTTGTCCCACTGGGCCTTGTGTCGGGGCTCTTCAGTCTCATCGTGTTCATCCAGGACCGTACTAGGCTGGGGGTGCTGGACAGGCTTCTTGCAGGCCTCACAGTCACTGGCATCTTTGTGACTCTACTGTCCCTCAATGCTGCTGGCCGGCCTGATTACATGTCCACGACAAACCTGGGCTGTGGGGCACTCTCATTCTTCTCCAACGTCTGCTACTTTACAGCTCAGCACCTGCAGGGGGCCATGCTCGTCCTATCTCTTCTGCCGGGATCTTCAGGCTCCCGGCTCTTGGCGAGGCCTGTGGCAAGCCTAGCTGCCATCGGGGGCTGCGCTGTGTGTAGCTCGCTCATCGTGGTGTCCCTGCTGGGCACATCTGGGGAGCTGCACACAACCACCATGTGCCAGGTGGATCCACTGACTGCATGGCCGGAATACGAGATTGTCAAGTTCAGCCTAGGCTTCGCATTTGCCTTGAGCTTCCAGATGGTTCTCTTTCTCCTGCATGCTGCACAGCCAGCCTGGCGGATGGCTCCTGCTCCGAAGGACACAGCTTCTGGGTGCTGGGTGGTACTGGTCGTGGCTCTCAACATGTCTGCCTGTAGACTCTTCTATAATGCGATCCTCCTGCATCGGGCCCAGCTGAAGCTTTGGAAGGATGTGGGCTCCCCCAGAGATGAGCTGTTTATGAACCTCGCAGAGCTGGTCCTGTCTGCAGAGAGCTGCATCAACTTGGTGGCCACCCTGCTCCTCCACACACGGTGCAGGCTCAGGTTGCTGGGCCTCCATGAACGCCTCACACAGAGATGTAGGCGGGGAGCGGACAACAGCATGCCCTTGAACAGAGTAGGGGGCTAGACAGGGCCTGCCTGCTGGCACAAGCCACACCCCTCCCTGGTGTTCAGGGAAGAGTACCTTTCTAGGGAGCCTGGGCAGGGTTCATATGGTCTGGAGAGTGTTTAACAAGCACGAGCTTGCCTTCGTTCACCTCAACCTATGCAAAACAAGACAGTTTCTCTTTTCAAATCAACAGACGCACCTTGTGGAACATTCGAGTCAAGGACACAAAGGCATGGGTACAGAGGCTGACCAGAGACCATGGGTCTGCTGGAGGGTGTCCTGACTATAATGGCCATGTGTGCCTGCTGGCTGCCATCCTCCATTCCATAGCCCAGTCCGATGGCACAGGAAGGGCACTGTGGAAATAAATGCATAACTTGTTTGTTTCTTTCTTTTTTAAATAATGTGTGTACTGGTGTTTGCTTGCATGTATGTCTGTGTGAGGGTGTCAGATCCCTTGGAACTGGAGTTACAGACAGTTGTGAACTGCCATGTGAGTGCTGGGAATTGAACCTGGGTCCTCTGGAAGAGCAGCCGGTGCTCTTAACCACTGAGCCATCTCTCCAGTCCCACAGGCTCTCATTTTAAGTCAGGCTGTAAATTATAAAAGCCAGCTTTAGCTGAAGTTGTGCTCACTTGGTGGCATGCTGCCTGGCATTGAAGAAGTGCCGGGTTCCATCCCCAGCACTGCATGCACTGGGCGTGGTGTTGTATACACACACACAACTTTGAGCAGGGTGTGATGGCACACCTCTATAATCCTAGCCTTCAGGTGGTTGAATCAGGAGGCTCAGATGTTCAAAGTCAGCTAGGTGTACATGAATGAGACCCACACAAAACAAGGGGCTCCACTTTTTTGTTTCTTGAGACAGGCTCTCACTACACACAGCCTGGGCTGGTCTTGACTCCTGATCCTCCTGCCTCGGCCTCCTGCATGCTGGGACTCCATGCCTGCATCACCACACCTGGCTACTTACGTACTCTATAGCTACGTGACATTCTGCTCCTATGTAGCTGTCGCCATAGCTTTCAACTGCCCGAGAATTCCTGCCCAAAACCTCCGTTAGGTTTGCCTTTGAAAAAAATCTGTCATCTCTGGGGCTAGAGAGATGGCTCAGCAGTCAAAAGTGCACAGTGTTCTTGCAGAGTCAGTTCCCAGGAACCACAGCAGGTGGCTCACAGGTGCCTGTCCTCCATCTCCAGGGGATCCAATGCTGTCTTCTACGGCACCTGTACTCATATGCACGCACTCCCCCAACACATACATAATCTAAAGAATGCAAATAAATCTTTAAAAAAAAACTGTCATCATAGCTGGAGTGTTGAGATTATCACCATAAGTGGAAGGTCACTGAAACAGCTGGTTTCCATCCAGTGACAACGGTGTCACACAGGGTTGTGCTGCTACACTGAGAGCCGGCAGGTACCCATAGCTGCTGAGAGCTCCAGTATATCCAATGTTGGAAGCCTGGTCACCAGTGTGGTTTCCTCAGGGAACTTTAAGAGGGGAGCCCAGTGGCTTCTTTCTGGCTTCCTGTCTCAACATGTGATCTCTATGTCCAGTGTGCTCTCACCACCAGCTCCTCCCAGGATCCGATCAGCTTCCCCATGACCCCATCTACTCCCACCACGATCCCATCAGCTCCTCCCACGATCCCATCAGCTCCTCCCACGATCCCATCCATTCCCATCACGATCCCATCAGCTCCTCCCACGATCTCATCCACTCCCATCACGATCCCATCAGCTCCCCCACCACAATTTATCTGCTCCTACCAGGATTCCTTCAGCTCCCACCACTCCAGCCATAGTTCCATCTGCCCCTGCTAGGATTCCATCCACTACCATAAAAAACAGGAATGGCTTTGCAGAGGCTAAATTGGCAGGGCTCCCTAATCTTGGATTTCTAACCTCTAAAAATGAGCTACAAAACATCCCCTTCTTTATGAAGTACCCAGCCTCAGCTGTGCTATCACAGCAACGAAAAACTGACTAAACACCCGAATTCCAAGACATGTCTGTCCTCTGGCCGGGGAAGGTACTAACTAGCCCTCTGGCAGCTCTGGGATTGGCTCAGCACACAGCCAGCCATTGGCTGCCCCGGGTCAGCCTACACCCTCACTCCACTCCCATTCAATGTAGCCAGAGCTGAGCTGACTACCAAGCAGGTTCTGGGGTGCTCTCTCCATTGTGGTACCCTATTCTCCAAGTACCATATCCCAACAACATTGACTCACTCACCCTTCCGGGAATCCAGTCTCTATCCCTCCACTGATCCCGCCTGTCCTGCTAGGCTCAGAGCTCCTTCCTGTGCTGTGGACCAGAGGATGTCTCAGGAAAGAAGCTGGTGAGTGCAGGCCATCGCCCCAGCAGGACCAAATTCTGCACAGCGGGTCCTTCTGGTATCACAATAGTCATTCCCTGCATTTGGCCGTTTTTAGTGGTTCGTGGTCAGTTCCCTCACGTTCACACTCACGGCAGATGTGGAAGTTGCTAAGTTAATTTATAAATACCTGCCATGATGGATGCCTACAGCACGTGGCTCAGAAGAAGAGAGGTGACAAAAAACCTCCGTGTGCTCAGGCTACTGGGAGCAGTGGGTCCCAGGGCCGGAGCAGGGGACAGGACAAGCTGCAGCTCTCAGCTCTGAGCGTCTCAGCATTCCAGGCACGGAGTGCATTTAGAAATCTGACCACAAAGCCTGAGCCTGCATCGGTGGCTCTCAGTAGGGTCCTGGTCTTTCAGCTGTAGTGTGTAGACCAGAAGACAACCTCGGTGTCATTTCTCAGGAAGTAGCCTTCTTTCTTTCTTTCTTTCTTTCTTTCTTTCTTTCTTTCTTTCTTTCTTTCTTTCTTTCCTTTCTTTCTTTCTCTCTTTTTCTTTCTTTTTTGTTTTTAAGATTTACTTATCTTTATTTTCTGCACAGGGGTGTTTTGCCTGCATGCGTGGCTGTGCAACACATGTGTGCAGTACTTAAGGAGGCCAGAAGAGGGCACTGGCTCCTCAGAACAGCAGATGGCTGTGTGAGGCCATGTGGGTGCTGGGAGTTGAACCTGGGTTCCCTGAAAGAGCAGCCAGTGCTCTTAACCTCTGATCCATTGCTCCAGCCCACTCTCCCTTTTCCCCTTTTCCCCCTGGAATTAGCCTATTAGACTAGACTGGTTGCCCAGGGAGTCCCAGGGATCCACTGTCTGTGCAGCCTCAGCACTACAATTATAAGCCTTGACTTAAAAACGTTCCAGGGGAAGCAACGCCTTCTTCTGGCTGCCTCAGGTACTGCACACATGTGATGCACAGTAGCCATGCATGAAGCAAAACACCCAGCCACACCTGATTTTTGTGCATGAGTTCTGGGGTTTTCCTTGTAAGTACGTTACTGACTGCGCTCTCTCCCTGGACCTGGACCTTTGTACTTTAAAAGGGCAGTAAGCTGGGTGTGGTGGTGCATGTCTATGATCCCAGCACTCAGTAGGCTCAGCAAAAAGGATCGTGATTTCAAGACCAGACCAGCCTGGGCTACATATGGAGACCTTGTCTTAAATACAAATCAAATAACAGCAGCAAGAACAACAAAAATGGAGCAGCAGAAGGGGGCAAAAATGAAAACCACTGAGATCTGATTAGGGGAGGGGCTCCAATGCTGGAGCAGCAAGAGGCCAGAGGCTTTGCACCAGACTCCTGTGGGAAAGATCCTGAGCCAAAGCCCCCCACCCCCCGGCCCCCAGCAGGCCCTAGACAGTGTTAGGCCCACTGGATCTGTATCTCTCTCTCTCTTGACCTGTCCATATATCCATTATGTCATAACCTCCTGATAATTCCTAAGAGCAAGGAAGGGTCTTTGTACATGAGAAGCCAAGAGGAGGACCTGGAGCAAAGGGGACGCCTCAGAGTGCAATTCTGGATGCTCTGATCCAGGGCGAGGGGGCAGGAAATCTCAATGTTGCAAAGGTAACTTGGAACTAATCGTGGGTGGGGAGAGTTCCCCGTGGAATCCAAGCCTCCCTTGGCTAAGAAAGGGCTTGTGAGTTGTTAACAAGGACCCGTCTCTGCCACTCCTTCCAGAGCCTCACTCACCTGTCACTCCCTGGTGTCAGGCCACCCTGATAGCACTCAGGACCCCTCCACCCCCATCTGCACTCGGAGTTGCGCACACTCACTTCTGGTTGCCAACACTCTCCAGGAATCAAAGGAAGCAACCAGAATGCTCCCAGCAACCATGGAAAGGGCCCAGCTGTCAACACTGCGAAGCTACTAAACCGCTCCCTACAGGCACATGGCTGTGTGTTCTGAGTGCTGGGAGTGGGGGTGGGGGGCAGGGAGCAGCTGCAGGACAGGGATATGACACTCTCCTGGGGCTGTAAATTCCTTCCCACATTGGAAGATAAGGCTACTGAACTGTGTGTGTGTGTGTGTGTGTGTGTGTGTGTGTGTGTGTGTGTGTGTGTGTGTTTCCCCCCCTGGGAAACAGCCCCAGATCGATCTAGACGGCACCTGCAGTATGCACATAGGATGCCTGTCTGCAGGAGGTCTCCTGAATCTCACAGAACCAGGACCACAGCACCAGGATGCTCCTAGGGACCAGATGCCCTGTTCCCCAGGAACCTGACTGAGGGTGCCTCCCTTGAAGTGTAAGTTTCCCAGGCACCATCTCACAAGAAAAGTGAAGGCTAGGGAGTTGGGGAGGCTGGGTCACAGCTCTGCATTGACCCTGACAAAACAGCCTTCGCAGGCCCGAGTGGGCAGATGGAGTGCTGCAAGACCGGCAGCATCAGTCTCCTGTGCTCAGCCAATGGCCCAGGAGAGCTGAGCCCTGACAGGCCCCTCACTGCTTGGGACCTAGACAAGTGCTTGGCTTCTACAGCTCTGGTTCTTCCTTTATAAGGAAGATGCCAGCCTCTCAACCTGCTAAACACTTACATACTTAAGTATTAACTGTCCTGGAGCACTTGTGCTGCAGAGTTAGAAGTCAGTGACATCTCTAGGCAGGGGCCAGAAGTCCCTGTCTCCCGAGTCTGGACCATGAAGAGAAAATGCACAAATTGTGTCTGGGGAGATGTTGGTAAAGATGCATAGGAACCTGACTTTAGATTCCTAACATCTACATAGGGAGGTGGTGGTGTGCAGCTTTAATCAGGAGGCAGAGTCAGGGGATCTCTGAGTTCAACCAAGACCAGCTTGGTCTACAGAGAGTTCCAGGACAGCCAGGGCTACACAGAGAAACCATGTCTTGAAACAACAATCACAACAAAAAGCTGTGTGCAGCAACACACACCTATAGTCCCAGGGATGGGAGTGGAGACTGGAGGATGCCCAGAACTCACTGGTTGGCCAGCCTAGCTGAATCTGCAAGTTCCAGGTTCACTGAGAGATCCCATCCCATAAAAGAAGGTGGACAGTGACTGAAGGAGACAGTGGACATAGGCTCTGGCTTACACACACACACACACACACACACACACACACACACACACACACACACACACGTACACGCACATGCATAAACAAACACCTACACATGTACACAAAATGTACAAATGCTGCAGAATGGAAACACATGGGCATTTTCTCCAGGCTTTGTGCTGTTTCCCAACACACATGGCTTGACACTTCAGAGGCAAACCAAATCATGCAAGCAATCCTACAAATGCTTTTGATTGGCAGGCCATCTCCCTAGTTGGGACGCAAGGAAGACCAGAAGAGCCGAGAGCATTAATGCTTGACTCAAATAAATGGCTATCACACTTAGTCCTAACAGGACTAAGAAGTAAGGTGGCCTCGGTGATGAAAGGAAGCTTCCTGCCTCACCCTGAAGAAAGCAGAAAGGCTTTCTTCATGGGTCATATGTGTCCTAGGACAGCTATGAATGGCCCAACACACTTGTAGAGAATTACAATGTCAAAGGGTCTTTGCAGAACTGTCTCATCTCACACCCATGCTCCAGGTGACCACTGAGGAGTGGGTGGGAAGGGAGCTGGGCAATGTGGCACACTGGCCATGCTCAGACTATGGGACCATGTCCCCTGAGGTATCTGACTGTCAGGTAAAAGGTGACCCTGGATCCATGAGGTGCTGGGGCTGTTCTGGGCTGTGCAAGAGGGCAGGAAGACCAAGAGAGAGAAATCTGGGGGGAGACATGGCCAGCACTGCTGGGACTAGGGATCCCTAGAGGCACTCTGGACCCTGACCCGGAACTTCAAAAGATGAAGGGTTGTGCGCTGAGTAGCAGGGAAGCTCCTGTGAGGGTTTCATTTTACTGATGCCTGCTCCCCATATGTGGTCAATACTGTCTGTACATTGAACAGGTGTGGCCTGGACTTCCACACTGGACTTCCTCTCAAGTCCCTCCTTTTAGCCTCGAGTCACACGTAAGGTGTGAATTCAGCAGCCTGAACCCTTCCTTGCCATGGAACACCAGCCAGAGTAGGTTCCTCAGACACAAAGCCACTATAAACAACTGTAGACTCATGCGCAAAACATAACCAAACCAAACCCACACAGACAAGCAACTCCTGTGGGAACAAGCAGATCAGGAAGGATACAAGCATGGTTGCTGCGAGGCAAAGACCCTGGCCCAGACTCGGTCACCAGCCCTGCCTTCTGCTGCAAATGCTCACACTACAGACTCTGTCAAGAAACCAAGGCTAGCGGCAGTCAGCTCTGAAGGAGGGCTCCGAGAGACTCTGTCATAGATCACTATGGGGAGAGCATGGAGGAAGCCCTCACCAAACAGACTTACCACTGTATTGACAGAATCTTCTCCAAGGTCTCTCTCATCCCTTATCCACACCAAAATCTACAGAGGTCAGAAGGCAGAGATTCCTTCTGCCCGGGTCATGTTGTGACGACATAGGTCCTGAGTGCTAGATATAGGTGTGACTACCTGGTCTGTTGAAGGGGAGGCTGGGCTCTGAGTAGGGTGCTCCCCAACACTTCAGCTGCCATCCTGCACCTGTGCAAGACGCCAGAGCACTCCAGGGGACTCCCCGGGCACCCAGAAGGTGATGAAGGCCCTCTAGCTGCTCCAGCACCATGGAACCTTGAGCAAGGGCTTGCAGGAGTGGGGAATTTTTAAGGGAGCAGCTATTTTTAAGTGGCACGCCTTGGCTATTTCAAGGCTTGGGTTTCTGTTTTATTTATTTAATTCAAAGGGAAGCTGTGTTTTCTCATGATCTGTTTCTTTCAAGATGGTGTCGCGGGCGTTTTTTAATGTTGACGTCATCTTGACTTGGTGAGCTGGTCAAAAGACGCCAAAGGGCCAACGGGCTCTTACCACGCTGCTCAAATGAGAAAAGAGCCAACACGGTAGTCAGGACTTCTGCAGCTCACAAGGGCCCTGACTCAGTATTTTTCCATTAAAAAAAAACTTGACACAGAACTCTGCTTAAAGGTCTGTACATTTTTCAAAATACACGTCTCAAAGATGCTAAGGCAGTATCCTACAGAAAACCACCAAGCGTGTTCGCAGCAGGAGGCTATGCACACACAGGGCAGCAGCAGGCCAGCGTTCCCGAGAGATGCCCGCGCAGCTGTCTGCGTGCAGGTCACTGCTTTTTTTTTTTTTTTTAAATATTGTATGTGTATGACTGTTTCACCTGCATGTGTATCTGTGTACCACCTGTGTGCCTGCTTCCCAGAGTTCAAAAGAGGGAGCTCAATCCCCTAGAACTGGAGTTAGAGATGATGGTGAGCCACCGTATGGGTGCTAGGAATTGGACCTATGTCCTCTTCAAGAGCAACAAATGTTAACTGCTGAGCCATCTCCCTAGACCAGTACCTGCTTC